CTTCAGCAGGATTTCTGGAGGTAGGACCCATCTCACTGTCTTGTTCCCGTTAGCACAAAAGTGCGGTTCTTGCACCTCAGCAAGATGTTTTTGCCCCATCTGTGACTGTTGTTATCATTCTGCTGCTCCTCTCCCACCCTGTGCCGCGGACACGTCCCGTGGTGATGTGGAGCGTGTCCTGCTCCCCGAGAGCGCTCGAATACTCCCGTCAGCCCTAATCTGCAATTAGAGGTTGGGGCAGGGGCAGGACGCGGTGCTGGCGGCGCAGAGCCCATGTGCCAGGCTCCCCCGTGAGAGCTGCCCCCCTCTCCTGTGAAGCAAGAGCAAAGTTAGGATGCCCACCGGCCCGCCTGGCCCCACAGCGGGCAGAGGCGACCCCTGGGTGACACCACGGCCAGCCTGGCACCCGGTGACGCTGCCCGGTGGTCCCGGCAGCGTTGCCCCAACAGCTCCGACAGCTCTTCAGGGGGCAGCGGGTCACTTGTGCCTCCTTCCTTCGCAGCGACGGGGAAGTGGCTTGACCAAAGCGCCTCCAGCAGCTGGTGGGAAGGCGGGAATGAAACGTGTCTTTGCAGAGGGCATCCCGCTGTGCAGACTGGCCTCTGCGGGGAGGGGACCCCAGCCTTGGCGGTGCAGCCACGGGGGGCAAAAGCAGTGCTGGTGCTTTGCCATGAGGCCAAACGGCCCTTGGGATGTTTTGGCGGAGCCGCGCCGGGACGCTGGGGAGCCCCACGGTGCCCGGGAGACGGCGAGCCCCCAGTTTGGTCCTTAGCAGCTGGTGGGCAGCAGTCAGCCCGTGTTCAGGACCTGCCTCCAGCCTTGCCCTCTCTTACACCGTTCCAGTGAGCCCCGGGATCTCTGCAGGGTGCAGACAGCCTCTGGGAGACCAGAGTCCCTCTGAAGCGGTCCCAGCCCTCCGTGGCCTTGCCAAACTGATGCATATCCCCATTTCTCTGTCTGCTGCTTCCACTCGGGGAGGGGGGGAATGAGCGAGATCCTGCCCTCAGCTGGGAGACCACGAGATGCTGGCGCAGGGTGAGAGGAGCCCAGGCTGGGCTGTTCAGCTGGGCAAGGAAAATCACAACTAAACTGGGAACAGACACCCTCGAGACCTGCTGGCTTAAGGCGCAACAAATGTCCTGTTTGGAGGAGAGAGAAGGGGCTGGCCTGGATCCAGAGCGGCAGAGGCCGGGTACAGCTGCCACTCCTGCTGATAAGGGCTCTGGTAAAGCTTGGCGCGGGACACTGCCTGCTGCAATCAGAGTGACCAATAAATTCTGCTGGTTTCAGACAGGCTGTCGCTGAAGCTGCCTTTTGCTGCTGTCAGGATGGTTTATCTACAGAAAGGGAAGGTTCCCATCCCTGGAGGTGTGGGACCAAGAGACGAAGAGCGGCTTAGGGGACCTTCCACCCACACTGAAGGGAAGAGCTGGCTGGAAGGATGCTCAAGGAAAGAGTCCCGAGCATAGTGAAACCCATCCCAAGCAGAGCAAAAGGGGCCCTGGTTTTAATTCTGGGGATGAGAATGCTGCAAGGTATTGCTGTGGGTGCACTGGGGAGAGGAGATCTCCCTTTGATGCCGTGAACTGCAAAAAAAAAGCTACAGAAATTACCTCTACTTGGCAGGTCACAACAAACATTTCCCCCCTGACTCTGTGCCGCTGAAGAGCCCCTCAACAGAGGAGCTCTGAGCATCCAAAACCTGCCAGCCAGGCCTCTTCCCCCAGGCCATAAAGCAGGAGATTTTAAAATGTACTTAAAATGAACCCTTTCTTATTAAAAATGGAGGAGACGGATGGGTTCCCTGGAGAAGCCCCAAGCAGAGGACAGGTCCTGGACTGTCTGGGCCGCCATGCCTTTGTGTTTTGCCAAGTGTCTCCATGCTGTCCCGCAGCGTACGGGGCTGCTCATGGCAAATGCTTGACGTGTCCCGGCCGAGATCACCCCGCAGGCCCCTTCGGGGCCGATTCTGCTCCACTGTGAGCTCGTCCCTCTGCCGGCGTTACGGACCCCTGCCCGGGGGGGGGAAACGGCCTCCGGGCCTGCCCAACATAACGTTTCCTTAAAATGTCTTTGCGGCTGACTAATGATAAAACTAAAAAGCCCTTGGGAGCCTTTCGCGGGGAGTTTAATCTCATGCCTTCTCCTTTGTCGATGTTCCCCAGCTGGGACACCGCGAGCTGCGGAGACGCTGCAGCCCACCGCAGTCAGGGAGGAGAAGGAAAGGTAAGGCCAAGCTCAGCAAGGCCCGGGAGTTCATCCTTGGCTGCTTCTCCCGGTTTAGCGTCTCAGCTCACGGCCCTCGTGGGATGGTGCAGCCGAGCTGCCCCGGTGCCCAGGTACCGCAGGACGGGTGCCGCCGGTTCACCGCTCTGCTGATAAAGGATCTGGAAGCTGGGGCTGCAGGGCGATTTACTGACGCTGCAGCCTCCTCATTTCTCATGTCTATATTAACTGCGAAAGCATGTGCAGGAACCAACCTGCACCCACGGCAGAACTACAGTTGCGATGAGAGAATTTAGTTTTAAGGCTGGGTCAGCAGTTACACTGAAGGCAGAGCTCAGTGCCTGAGTGTACCACAGACTTCTTGCCTGATTTGAAATGCATCAATGCATCCGACAGTGCATCAGGTCCAAAATTATACTAGTAAGAACACTTCAATTCTCTGACAGCCTATTAGTCGGAAACACCTTGGATCGAGACGCCCTGTCAAGTAGAGGGTGGAAAAAAGCCACAAGTTTTGAAGATGTAGTAACTGCAGGGATTAATGGTATTGACCAGAGGTAAGGCTGGAAGAACCTACTGACAGTTTTATTTGGAGCGGGCAGATATGCGACAAGACAGTGCTCTTCAGGTCTGTGAAGACGGTTGCTGAGAAGACAAGGGGACAGACTTCATCCTGCCTTGCTGGGAGAGATCAGCCCTGCAAGGCTGTTTCTTAAGGCTGAATTATTTCATGTGAACAAGCAATCTGATCAGGGCAGCTCTACCAACAGTAGGAATGCTGCTTTGCCAGGACAGGTTATTGCTTTTGGGGCATGATGTATGCCACGTATCAAAAGAATTCTTTTTTCCACCATCTGCGCTCAAGAGTTCGTCAGTGCTGGTGCCTGACAGAGCAAAACCATCCAACGTTTGCCATGCAGACAAGGCTTTATCGCATATTTCTGCTAGCAGTCTGAAAAAATAAACATGGTTCCCTATTTGGTTCTGCCTTTTATTTGGCCTTCACCCCATTTCTGAGTTGGTCAGGCTCAGAACTGTGCCCCAAAGCCACCCAGTTATCAGTCTAAGGGACAGTCATCAGCTCCATAGAGTAATGAGGCATTCAAAATGTAAAATAACATGGATGCTGTGTTGTCCTCTTCCTGGAGACCAGCAGAGAAGATCAGTGTTGGCCTGGTTTTGCTCAGCACAGCCTGGTCCTAGACTCCCACGGGCATCAGGTGGGCCTGACCATGCGGGTGACGTGTCCGGCTTGTGCTTCCTTGCAGGACTGAGGCAGGGGCAGCACCGTGCTCGTGAGACCCCTGGCTCAGAGGCGGATCCGCTTTCTCTGAGGACAGGGAATTGCACTAGAGATGGCAAATAGGAGAGCTTGGGCTTGGAGCAGCATGGACAGTGATGCTGGACGGTGACGATGGACAACAGCTCTAGAGCTCTTTGTTAGGATGAACAAGAAAGAAGGCTCTTGCATTTAAAGCATGAGGCCCAGATTTGGGAGTGATCATTCCATCCTTGTTTCCCAGGAAGCCTCCGGCCCTTTGAGCTGGGGTGGGAGATGCTCAGTGCTGTTCGGGATGAACCCCGGCGGCGCAGGGCACCAATGCGCCGTCAAGAGTGGGAAAACACGGTCAAGGCAGAGACTGCAAACTCTTCGAATGTCACTGCCCATCTTCCTGGGTCTGACCCGTGTGTTCAGCCCCCAGCCCGCGGTGCCTCTGCGGCACTGGGAGCCCACAGCCACGCAGGCAGCTCCTCCTGCGCGTGGGGCTGCAGGTACAAGTGCATGGGGATGAGATGATGCTTGTCCACTCAAAGCCAGAGGGGGAAAAGGGCCTCTTTTCCCCTTGGACAGAATCCAAAATTGCTATCTTTCCTTGTGCAGCCCAGCTCCCTCCCCAGCCCCAACCAATAGCTACGTGAACTGAGATTAGGACAAGCCGTTGCTACTGTATAAAAATCCCTGGGGCAGACTGCAGCTCCACTTCCTCATCACTGTTCAGGGAAACCCCAGGCAAAACCTCCCGCTCGACACCATGGTGCACTGGACAGCCGAGGAGAAGCAGCTCATCACCGGCCTCTGGGGCAAGGTCAACGTGGCCGAGTGCGGTGCCGAGGCCCTGGCCAGGTAGGTCCCGCTCCGGGGCATTGGCTGGGCTGACCCCGGGGTAGAGAAACTGTGGCGATTTTCTGTGTGTCGGCTTGTGTCCTTCCGTCTCTCCCCAGGCTGCTGATCGTCTACCCCTGGACCCAGAGGTTCTTCGCTTCCTTCGGGAACCTCTCCAGCCCCACCGCCATCTCTGGCAACCCCATGGTCCGCGCCCATGGCAAGAAAGTGCTCACCTCCTTCGGGGAAGCCGTCAAGAACCTGGACAACATCAAGAAATGTTTTGCTCAGCTGAGCAAACTCCACTGTGACAAGCTGCACGTGGACCCCGAGAACTTCAGGGTGAGCCCTGCTCGGAGTCCAGCCTCAGCCAGGCAGAGGATTCTGTGCTCTGGGGGGGGATTTAGGGGTCCTGAGGTGTCTGACAGTTGGTGAAACCCAGAGAGAAACCCTGAGGCTGCCAGAGCCTGGGAGCCTGCTGAGGGCAAGGGGCGGTGGGGGGGAAGGGGGAGTGATGAGGCTTATGTGGGGAGAATAGAGAGGAATTTTGAGGCTGGGATCTGTGAGAGGAGGGACCCAGGTGGGCGAGGTGGATGGGGATGAAATACAGAGCTGAACACGTGGCAGAAGGAAGCAACGTTGTCTTGGAGCAAGAGGAGACCAGAAGGGAAGACACCAAGACAGGGTTTGAGGTGAAGTCCCCAATAACCCGTGTCCACGTGCAGATGCCCGGGTGGTGCCACGGTGGGGAGGGATGTGGGAGGCAGCACCGGGCTGACGGCTTCTCCTCCCTCCATTGCCAGCTCCTGGGTGACATCCTCATCATCGTCCTGGCCGCCCACTTAGGCAAGGACTTCAGCCCCACGTGCCAGGCCGCCTGGCAGAAGATGGTCCGTGTGGTGGCCCATGCGCTGGCCCATGAGTACCACTGAGCCTCCCGCAAGCATTCCTGCCTGGCGATGCTCCCGGAGAAACATCCTTTGGTTCTGCTGGTCTCTAATTGCCAAATAAACACCAACTGCTTCAGCCGTGAAGAGGTGTCCGCCTCTCTGTGGGAATGGGGTGCTGGGGAACAGGACGGGGATGCTCACACATGCGGGGTGACACGAGCCGCGCTCTTGTCTATGAATTCGCACAAGTGAGACTTGTCTCAGCGGGAGAATCCAGGGAACATTCAAGGCAAAACCCAAAGAAACACACTATGGAACACAAACAGAAATACTCTGGTGCTTTTTTTGAGACACCAGGTAACATATCTGGGTTTAACGTTTTAAGTCTTTTAGAGATCAAGTGGAACAAAACTTTGGAAAAAACGTGGAGTGGGAGGAGTGGCAGTGAGATTAGTTTCTCCTTTGTAACTTCCTTCATGGAAGGAAAAATGCTTTTTTTTTGTTTTTCTTATCTAAATTATTATAATTCTCAGGTTATTAAAGTCAGAATGTAATAGACACAATTATCTATCATGGTAAAAAACGTGCTAAGAATGGTAATTTCATGTACAGGAAGGACAGAGCATCTGCTTTCACTGGCCCCTACCTCTAACTTCCCACAAGTAAAAGAACATTCCCTGCCCAGCCTCCATGCCACGCAGAGGCCCGTGGCCCTCACCAGCCTCCTGTCCTCCTTTCAGGCTCGCAGCACCGAGAGCAGCTCAGGGACACGTCTGGGGGTTCTGGGTGGGCAGTCCCCCTTACCAGGGAGGAGGCAGAGCGAGCGGCTGGGGAGCGGTGTCACCCCCAGGCTCCTTCGGCCAAGGTTGCCCCTGAGGTCAGCAGGCAGAGGAGATCTGGGGCAGCCATGGGGAAGGGTGGCAGCCCGTGGCCCATGGCCAGTGCAGACACGTTGCTCCACGGCCATCCAGACCCCTCCGGAGCAGCCTGGCCCCACAAGCTCCTGCATCTGACCCCAGCGCCTACAGCCCGCTCCGCTGGGAGCAGGAGCAGACGTGCAGCCCCAGGAAACACGACTGCCTCTCCCACACTGTGTCTGGCCTGTGGGAGACAAAAAAACAGGCCTGCGAGAAACACGGACTGAGAAAAACTGAGAAAAATCCTTCTCTCCCTCATCCGAGAGGGATGTGACACTGCCCCGCATCTGCAGGGACCCCAGCACACCCAGTCTGCCCACCTCCACTGCGGCCCTGGCGAGCTGACACCCTGCAGACAATTGCTGTGCCCTGTGTTACAACATTTCCCTTCCAGCCTTGCTTGACCCTCACTAACACTCCCTTTGAGACAGAAGCTCTCGCTCCCACGGTTTTCTTAGCGTTACCCTCAAATCAGCAAACTGTTGAAGAGTTGATGGGAAAGAACAGGGAGAACCCAAAGCCAGGCAGGTCTGGCAAGAGGATGGCAAAGAGAAACTGCTCGGACATGGCTGGTGCCTTCAGAGGGGTGACCCAACAGCCCCACTCCGACTCTTCTGCCTAGCCACCACACAGCCCGCCGGGTTTTGCGCCATCCAAGGGGCACCAAGCCTCGCAGGCACCTTCCTCGAGGGCCCACGCGGGCCTCGCGCGGCGCCGTGCTCAGACTTCGAGTGGAGATAAATGCCACCCTTCATCAGGGAGGTGCAGAGCTGGAAATCAAAGGCCAGGGGGAGGGCGGCTCGCCAGCCCGTCCCAGCGGTGGATCTGGGCATCTTGCCCAGGGGCCCCACCCTGATGCTGTGTCCCCTCCCTTGGGGTGCCAGGGCTGTGGGGGGCCCCCCCGGGGGGGCCAGCCAATGGAGGGGTGCACAGGGAAGAGGAGGGGCCCAGTGTAGTGTATAAAAATGGGGACGGGGAGAGCCACTCGCCAGTGTGCGATCCCCTTGGGAGCAAGAGCTGAGACTTCCTCCGTACCCGCCGGCAGCCACACGCCACCCTCCACCCGTCACCATGGTGCACTGGTCAGCCGAGGAGAAGCAGCTCATCACCGGCCTCTGGGGCAAGGTCAACGTGGCCGAGTGCGGTGCCGAGGCCCTGGCCAGGTAGGTCCCGCTCCGGGGCATCGGCTGGGCTGACCCCGGGGTAGAGAAACTGTGGCGATTGCGTTCGGAAGCGTTAACGTGTCTGTTGTCGGCTTGTGTCCCTCCGCCTCTCCCCAGGCTGCTGATCGTCTACCCCTGGACCCAGAGGTTCTTCGCTTCCTTCGGGAACCTCTCCAGCCCCACTGCCATCTCTGGCAACCCCATGGTCCGTGCCCACGGCAAGAAAGTGCTCACCTCCTTCGGGGATGCCGTCAAGAACCTGGACAACATCAAGAACACCTTCGCCCAGCTGTCGGAGCTGCACTGCGACAAGCTGCACGTGGACCCCGAGAACTTCAGGGTGAGCCGTGTTTCCCCACACCGTGTCCCTGCAGGCACCTTGTCCCCCAGCCCCAAGCCCCAGCACACAAGGGATTTACCCCAGAGATGCCGGTGCAGGATGAAGACGGGCTGGTGGTTGGGGCGAGGGGGAGATGTGGGAGAGGAACAAGGCAGGGAAGGGACCACCCCGGGTGAGGAAGCGCCCAAGGAGCTGGGGGGTGGTTATGGGGAGGCTGTCTGAAGGGTGCAAGCGAGGATGCACGGGAGACGGGAAGGTCGTGAGGAGGAGGTTTCAGTGTGGAAAGGGAGAGGGAGAGTAAAGCAAAAGCAGTTGTTGAGCAGGAAGAGGTTTGAGCCAAGGGGAAAGTGAAGGAGCAAGAGGGAAGCTTGGCACGGAGGAGAAACGTGAGTGAAGAGCAAGAGGTGGCAGCTAGATGCCCAAAGCAAAAGAGGA